CCTTTGGAAGCCCTGGAAAGGTACAACAATCAAGAGTTTAGGATAAGCAATCACTGGCTTAATTGAGGTTTACATAAAATGAATGTTTACTTACAGGTCACTTTTATGTCAGCATACACAGTCATCTTGCTGTTCATGTATGTTGCTGTACAAACGTATCTTGCTGAATCTTCTCTTGTTATGTTGAAGATGACAAGTTTATCAGGTGCACCGATCTTGTGGAGACTAGTGTTGCTTGTTGGTTTTATGCTGCCTGCATGATCAGTCCAAATTATAAGTGATGGATGAAAGCTATTTTCAGTGCAGGGCATATTCAGAGCATCTTTTATAGTCTGATTTCCAATAGTCTTAGGCGTCATTTTATCTGTCGATGAAATGAAATCCTTATATTTTGCAAGGTTGTTTTATAATATACAGTATTTTTAATAACAAAACAGAGATATGTATGAATGATAACATTTAAAAACAAGCCTCACATTATGGTACAACAATGCTGATCTTCAAATCGAACAAGCAAAAATAGAAATAAAGATGCTGAACATCAAATTGTTTTGTTGATTTTGCTGATATGCTCACTCCAGTGATCATTTCATTTCAAAACTAAAATCTAAATGCATTTTAAATGAGGGGAAGTCAGCTCGTTGTTTTACTTATTGTAACCAAGCAACTAAGTTCCCCTTTGGAAAGTCTTTTTGTGGCAAAGCATATGAATAAAAAAGGGGAAGAGGCTTTGCAAACTGTCTGCACAGTTCTGTCTTAAGAGTTTGGCAGTCTTACGTTTAAAACGTGAATGATTTTGTAATGGGTTAATCATTTTTTACTTTCGAATCACTTGAATATAGAAATAATTCAGAATCAATGCTTTCTCAATTAATATGACAATCACTCCTCTTTTTCATAACTATATATGTTTTTTAGGAAAGATAATGTTATTGCACTCCTTGGGACATTTTGTACCAATTGTACATTACTTCACCCTCTCCAAGAAGATTTTGTTTTTACCTACTTTGACAACCAATGATTGTTTTTTTTTTGTTGTTGTTTTGTTTTTTCCATAATCCACTTTTGTTGTAAACTGAGGGAATGTTGTAATATAACTAAGTTATTTTGGTACAATCTGGATCTGAACTATCATTTCTATAGGGGTCCGATATACATTTTTCAGATAACGGTATACAAAGTATTAATTGAGTACATCAAAGCATCTTTACAGCTAATTTTCTCTATAGTTTATGATAACACACGTTTTCAGTTTATAACATTGTAGCAGAGGACAGAGGGCATTAAGATTCAAAATTGATAAGGATTGCATTAATATTATCCCTATATTTTTTATAGATCACCTATATATAATGTGTAAACAGTAACAATATGCCTAAATATAACTGATACAATGACTGCCCTCTGCTTAGACTTAGTATATTCTGATATTTGGCTGCATATTTTACTATTAAAAAGATTATATCCCCTACTGTAATGTCAGGGATGGACAAAATGCTAATTCTACTTTCTTCTCTGCTGCTTTGTGATTTACTTGAGCTACAGCTCTGCAGATTTTTTTCTGTGAAGTTTAGTCAAGTTGATATTTTAAGGCAGGAACACTCAGGAGTGTGAACACTCCCTGACTTCCCCACTGACTGTTGCTCTGCTAGAGATCTTAGATATTTCCACCTTTCTGAAATAAATTCAATCTTATATGTTTTCTTATTATTATTATTTTTTAACCTGTGTTTATCTAGATTCAAGACCAATTAAGTTNAAAACTATTTAGGATCAAATATTCCAGGCAGACGGGGCAGATACACTAAAAGCTTTGTTTCTAACTTCTATTTAAACCTGAGCATTAACATTAATATATTAATAATATTCATCAGTCAAATTATCATTAACTGAAAACTACATTCAAAAATGTATTGGGACCCATTTGATTTTGGTTGTTTCAGATCAATGCACTTCAGATGTATGTTCAGATGTTTAATTGCAACTAATGATACATTTTAGTTGAATGACATTTGGTTTGGTATTTTTTTTGTGAGCCCAATAAAACTAGCAAAAACTGTTTCAGATGTATTACTTCTGTTGTGTTTAAAATGAATTATGAAAAAGCATGCTTACATTTAACGTGGATTTCTCCTTCCATGCCTTGATATGTTGCTGTACAAATGTGAGGCGCTGCATCCTTCATACTTACATTTTTGATAGTAAAAGAGACATTTTCAAGTTGATACTGCTGATACATTTCCAAGCTGTTATTTACTTCTGAAATATTTCTATTTAAACCAGTTTCTGTTCCAGATTTCATCCATCTGATATATGATGGAGGGAAGCGGTCAATGCTGCAGCTCAGATTGAGAACAACTTCTTTCTTTACAGTTGCATTCCTGAAAACCTGAGGGTCCCTTTTATCTGTAGATGGAAAAAAAAAAAATAAGTTAATAAAGTTAAGCGTAGATATAGTTTTATAATCTGTTACCAATGTGAATGTTTATCAAAGTCAATTTTATCTCAGTGCTACAGCACTTTTCAAACCTATTCTGCTGCTAAAATCTTTTTGCATTTTGTTACATTACATTATAAGCATATGACTGTGTTTAGTGCTTTGCAGAAGAATCTTTGCATGTTTAACATTTTATAACCACAAAATCAAAATAGCATAAAACAAGTGATGCTTAATAATGTAACAGTAAGGAGATGACTTCTTTAAATTGTCCTTAGGTGTCAGTTTGTGTGTGCATGGTTGTATATCTCTGTGTTGCCCTGCAGTTTACTGGTGACATGTGCGGAGTGAACTTTGCCTTTTATCCCCAGAATGCTGACGATAGGCACCCAATCACCGAGATCCTGACTGGTGAAGCTGGATGGATGGTTCATAAATAAAACTCAGGAAAGAGTGGAGTGCATGAGTATAGAGAACTTTTCAATCGCATCCAGGGCAAACAATTCCCTTAAGTAGATATCTTACTACTTGGAGTTTGTCTTTGTATAGTGTTTGTGAAAAAAAAAAAAAAA